AATTTTATATTTTAATTTAATAAATATTAAATAAAAAATAAAATAAACTTGTAAATCTAGAGTCTCAATTGCTTACCACATAGTGCTTATCAAACCAATTTCATGGGCGGAAGATGGCGAAAAGAAGGTGAATTTTGTTACTAACCAAGAAACTATACACTTAACTCATTTGAACGTGAAAAGAGGCTATGAGATCCTTGGCGCTAGTTAATTTTCTAGGCTGATTTGCAGACTAAAAAGTGTTCAAATGTGTAAAGAAAGGAAGGAGATATGGTGACTTTCAGGGCACAAAGAGCCTAGTACAGAATAGTCCTCCTGGGCTTCCACATCTCCTGTATGATGTATTTTCAATGTCGATCATCAAAAATTTATAGGACAACATGAATGAATGTAGACAAAGGTGGTGGTTCACAGTTAATTAAATCTTCTTATATGTATGGAAATAATAGCTTAGTTTTTTCCCCACCGAACTAACATTTTCACAAGCAAACTTGATAAGTAGCCAGTGACTGGATATCTTAAGAGGTTCCAAGAGAAAATGTAAATAAATAATACATATGATGTTTAAATAATATTTTCATTCATAATAAACAATATGAAACAATTTATATAACTCAATAATTAAACAGTATGACTCATTCTTCCCTTTAAGCACATTAAGGATCTATATTTTGTCATTTAACATTAACTAACTAATTATTTTCACTCTTCTATTATAAGACAAGTGTGGTTTGCATGGAAGCTGCTACCATTAGCCTCATTTTTAGAACAATGTAATTTCTTGGCAAAAAAAAAATGTTTTAGCTTCATAAAGATGAAAGGAAAACTATGCAAAGGGTTTGTGAGTACTACTTCCCCCTTGGTGTCTTCTCCTCTCCTACTTTCTATCTCTCCTTTTCGCTCCTCTTTTTCTCTCTCCTACTCATATCTCTTTCCCCTCCATCTTGGCCATTACTTCCACTCTTCTCTCTTGCAAGGACAAAGTCATGTCAACACTGTAACAATTGATATCTTTGTTTCCAAGGGAAAAAATAGGGGAGAATAAAGACAGTCAATTATTAGAGCTCAACACCATAATTGGCTCTTGTCACTGAGGTCTTCCATTTATTACAAGCGAAGGAAAGCTCACTCTTTAGTGTTTTTTCTCTTTTAGTCTAGCAGTGATACATCTTAGGGGCCCCCAAAAGGCACGCGTGGGACCCATTCACCTCTCCTTTCCACATGCAAACATTCTTATTTGCTGACCTACTGAATACTAGGGTCCTATTTACTTACTATATTGAAATGTAAAGGAATTGATTGAAAAAAAATCAAAACTAAAATGAACTAAATTACCCTTCCCCTTATACGAAGCATGATAAAACTCATATACTAGAAATGTGAAAACCATCATATCCTCTAAAAATCTCATGAATCATGATTTTTAATCCCATAAACTAAATTACATTTCTTTTTTATGAATGTACTCACTTATCTCCTTTGATCATCTCATTTTTATCTTTATTTTTTTCAATCCATTTTATCCAATTCCTTTTTAATAAATAAATAGGACCTAAGTTCTTCCCAGTGACTAAGCATGGCATCAAGAGCTTGGGACCTCTCAAGATACCATCGTAGTTGAGATTGTTCTTCGGACCATGTTCCCATAAGTTCACTCCATCTGATTAGCTGTAATATGTAATTGTCGACCAAGTGATCGTCACTAGAACTGTTGTATTGTTCTCTTACTTTAATGGAATCTATAGATAACAATCCATGCCACGGCTAGTTGATAGCTTGAGAGCTTTGCTTGTAACATCTCAAAAAAATTTCTTATGATTTATTAATCTATGGAAGGATAATTATGTAATTTAAGTATAATTAAGTTTGAGGATAGTTAGAGACGGCTATTGGCCTTGGCTTTAGCCTTTAGATTAGGTTTAAAAGTGAATTGGGTCATCTAAGCTCGAATTGTAGAGAGAAATTAGATTTTTAGCCCACTGTGCGTTATGCTACAACATAATTTCTTGAATTAGTTTTTTTAAAAACACAAAATCAATTAAAAAAATAGAGAGTGAGACTAGAAATAGTGAAAAGTGACTAAGTGAGTATTTACTCTATTAGGGTATCAACTTTTGGAGATTTTATAGGTGTTTGAAGCTTGATTTCATTTAGGTATGCTTTCTTTATTTCTTCTTCTTCCTTTTGCACGTTTTGGAAGTATGATTTAAGGTTGGAAAATAATTATTTTTGGATTTAAGACTATGGGTCTCTCATTATTTTAAATGAGACTAATGAGAGTTGTTTAAGTACTCTATACACAGTTTAAAGGTTCTTACAAGGTTGTAAGCTTGAGTCATCCATTTTGGATGAACCCTAGATCTTCAAAGTATAATTTTAAATTTTTAGATGTTACATTAGTGATTATTTAACTTAATAGAAGCTAAATGGAGTTAATAGAAGTTAATAAACCTAATAGTTATCCCTAAGTACAAGATATTAGAATTTTGGGTAATTAAAGTATTGATTAATGTAAGTTGAAAGAGTGTTTATGATGATTTTAATGATGATTGGTATAATTAATTGTAGATCAATTATCTTATGCACCATTCAAGCTTTAGTATAGCCTGTGAAAAACTTTTATTGAGGGGACCTTTGACCTCTCAAAGGTTGGAGGTAACTAAGAAAAATCTAGTTTATATAGTTGAATATTAATTTATTATTTGTTAAAATGGTTGATTTGAAACATGTTTAATATTTTTAAACCCATGATATAAATTTGACATAGCTCGTAATGTATTATTGTTACAAATTATATGTATGTTCATATACATGCTAATAGTGATGATGAATGAGAAATTGTGATTATATACTAGCTGGTGTGTAAAATGAGTTGAGTGTGTGGGTATGGATGTGTGGATTCATGATATGAATGATTGATTAGAATGCATATATATATGTGATATACGTGCATAGTACAATTATTGGCGGGAGTTCACCTAGGGAGAAGAGTGGTTAATTAAACCCATGTGGTATTCGCAACGACTGTTAGAATCAGAAGCTTGCCTTAGCATCAATTGTTGAAATCTGAAGGTAGCCCTTATCTTATGATTGATTTAGGACTGTCCCACTTGTTGTATGAGGAATTCGAATATAACTAGTCTCTATTAGTTTATCAGGAGGCTAGATTAAGGGTACAAATACCTTATGATTGTTAGTATTGGGAGAAATTGAATTATACAAGTGAGTGAGTTGACTCTAGCTCAGTAGCTTCTCACAAGTGGAAGGTTAGATTGGTCTGTGACGGACGCAGCCATCAAATAGTCACTGGTTTCATGTCAAAAGTAATAGGAGAATATAAGGTTGGCATATATATTTAGTCCTAGTCACATGGTTGTTAGTGTTATGGTTCGGTACGGTTTAGGGGCGCATGGTTTATTATTGTGACCTCAGGTTGCACATTATTGATATATTTATATATATGATTATGTGTTTGAAGTCTAGTCACATTATTGTTATTATTATAGCTGAGGCTATACGTTGTCATACATACTTTATAAATGTATTTATTGCCAATTGCATCCATTTTTGATTGATGTGCAATTGTATAGATTAGGTGAAACTTGTTTTTTGAGTGGTTGTACTCATCCCTCAATTTCTAATATTTTTAACGCCTAGCTCATCAGATCAAGATCGAGAAAAACATATAGAGGCATAGGATTGTAGAGTAATAATTTGTATGCCTCTTTATGTTGTTTTATGTGTATTAAGTTTGTTAACTTGCCAACTATGGTTCACATGAATATTTTTGTACTACTTGCATTATTATTGTATCACATTTGTGTATTTTGTGCCTTGGATTAGTAAATTTTAGTTGTAAACCCTAGTATAGGGCCAAGATACTTGTACAAGTAGGAATATATATGTTTTGATTAGTTTAGAATGAAAATGATTGTTTTGTGTAAGAAATTTCTCCCCTCTTATGTTTTATGTGTTATGGGGTTGAGTGGTGCATTTGTGATATATATATTTTTGGTTGAGTGCGGTGTATTGCACGAGTCTTATAGAGTTTATTAAGTGTGGTCTAGAGGTAGTTATGAGCTTATGGTAGTTGGTTGTGATTTTGAACACCTTAGTTATGTTTTGAAAGCATAAATGGGTAAGTATGCATTTTAGTGCCTAACTTTTGATTGAGAAATAATTTGAATATGAAACTAATGTCATTAGCTATAGTTCAAAGAAAGCTTTCTGTAGACCTTACATGACCTCAATCAAACGTCGGATAAAGATTTAGGGCGCGTCAGAAGTTTGGGCTTCTACATTTTATGCCGCAAGTAATTCTAGAAAAATACGTTGCAACATAAAATTTTACCTTAATTTTGGAGTTAGTGGTGAATTAGTAAAAGTAACCTTACATTACTTCTTCACCAATGCATGCATGCAGGGTCCTTCACGTGGAAGAGAGAGAAAGTAGGGAGGGGAGAAGAAGGAGTGAGAGTGAGAGGACTGTGAGGTCTTTGAAAATTCAAGAATTGAGAGAAGGGATCTCGTGAGAGTGTCGTTTGGAGAAAGAAATAGAATGGAGGAGATAGAAAGTAGGGAGGAGGAGAGGGAGAGGCGATGGTCACAATTTATTAAAAAAAAAGTGAGACCCACTTAATAAAAAACTAAAAAGAGAAGTGCATTAATGAAAAGGTATTATTGTAAACAAATTTAGATGTCAAAGAACATAATTAAATTTAGAGTGTCCAGTAACTCTTCAATTAAAGTTGAAAGGTAAAAATAATCTTCAACCTTATAAAATATGTGAGTTAAAATTATCTATTGACTCTTTGAATAAAAATTGAGAGGCAAAAATGATCATAATTCAAAAAAATATTAAAAAAAATGGTGAGATCCATAAATGATAAGGGAGAGGGAGGGAGTATAAAAAATATCAAGGTAATGAGAGAGGAATATAAAAAAATATCAAAGTAATGAAGAAAAGAATTTTTAACATTGATAAATAGAATTAACTCATAATTAAATTTAAAATGTTCAATAATCTTTCGAATAAAGTTAAGAGATAAAAATAATACTTAACCTTTATCTTTTAGGGTGATATGGCCTTTTTGAACATAAGAAAAAAGTTAATAACCAATAACTTGAATTTCACTTTCCCAAGCCGCTAGCAGCTTCGCTTCACTTGCAAGGCTGTAATAAATCATCTCCCCCTGGGGCAAGATATGAGGAATAGTACAGGGGAAAAAGTAAATTAAATCCATGCGAGTCCATGATGGAGCGATTTGCTCCATATCCTGATGATGGTTTCATAATTTCACAGAAGTGAGTGTTGCAGAATTTTCGTTGAGGAACCTCCGACTCCGAGCTCCTGTTTCAGACCCCAGCCTGCAAAATAATTTTAGTCCTCCGTTATAAGTTTATTTCGTTTCATTTAAGAAGATGAAAGATCCTTTCTTCTGGATTTTACCCCAAAAAGCCAGCCAATGCACTCAAACTCATAAATGGACAAAGCGATCCAGATACCAGCAAAGCCATGAATTGAAGATAATCAATAATGTAAATAAGCAAAATGTTGCCACCATAATCTGGGAGAAGCAGAAAAGTAATTAGCCATAAGACAGACAGACATGCACAGAGGATGAAAAGGTAGAACGAGGAGAAATATTGATGTGTTTTACCGGTTGCTCAGTAAACGTATATTAGAACTTCGATAAATATTATTCCCCCCTCCTAATTCCAAGATTGTTGTTTTGATTCACTGCGAAAATATTTTCCAGACATATCATGGAGTAAGCACAGTATGCAAAATCTGAGCTCCCTTGATGGTTAACAGTCATTGTCAGAACTAGATCGACGCTTAAGCCATTTGCAGCTCTTCAATGACTACAACAAAGAGAAGAATATTTTGATTGTCACGATTATGTTGTTCCAGCTCCCAAACATAGCTGTTCACAGTAGTAATCTCGATGATCACCAATAATCTCCACAAGTGCATTTTCCATCTTCAAATCTGTGGAACCGGTTGTTATCCCTCACAATGATTACCCTTCCAGTGCATTTGCTAATAAACTTGATTGCAGTGTGGCAATCACCACAAACACGCAAATTCTTCATTACTCTGATGGGTCGTTCAGGAGGGAAGGCAATGAGGCCAAATGCTATGGCTAATCTCTCGCTGTGAAATCTGATTGTCTGATTCTTCTCTTCACCGTCCACTTCTTTCAACACAAAAGATGTGTCTGCCACATATCCAGCTTTCTCCATTTCTTCTCCTAACTCCTCTAATTTCTTATATATTTCTATGGTTTTCACATGAGATTTATCCCCAGCAGCAAATGTGTGAACTCTGTTTCCCTCCTCCACCCAACTCAAACCAGTTTCCTTCCTTATTCCTTTGTCCCTCAGCATCTTCCTCGCTCTTGCTGCTTCTTCCCATCTTCCAGCAGCAGCATAAGCATTAGATAGAAGGACATGAAGACCAGCGCTTACAGGACCCAACTCAAAAACTCTATCAGCAACATAAGATGCCAATTCAGTGTTCCCGTGTATTCTACACCCTGTCAATAATGCTCCCCAAACACTTTCTGTTGGTTCCATAGGCATTTCTTGAACCATCTGAACTGCCTCCTGCAGTTTTCCAGCACGACCTAGCAAATCTACCATGGAGGCGTAATGTTGGGCCCCTGGTTTAATACCATAGTCTTTCATCAGCTGAAAGTAACATTGGCCTTTCTCTACTAATCCTGCATGGCTGCAAGCATAAAGTATGCATAAGAAGGTGATGAAATTGGGTTTCATCCCAACACTTTCCATCTGTTTGAACAGCTCAAACGTTTTGTTAGTGTGCGCATGCTGGGCGCATGCTATCAGCATTGCATTCCACATACCAAGGTTTTTAATAGTTATCTCGTCAAACACCAGATAAGCTCCTTCAACTACTCCACACTTGGAGTACAGCGATAACAAAGAACTACCCACGAAGCTTGATGAATCAAAACTTGTCTTGAAGCACAGTCCATGTATTTGCTTCCCCAATTCAAGCAAAGTTGAGGTGCCACAAACCCGTAATACACTAGACAATGTAAAATCATTGACATCCACATCTTGCAGTAGTGCTTGCTTGAACAGTCTGAGAGCTTCATCATCCTCACACATTTGAGTGTAGCCATATATCATCCCGCTCCAAGAAACCACATTCTTTTCAGGCATTTCATCGAACATTTTCCGGGCAAGTTTTATCTCTCCACATTTGGCATACATATCAACAACTGAACTCCCAACAAACACATCAAATTCATACCCAGTCTTCACGACAAGGCAGTGCACAGACTGCCCAACGTCACACATCGATAAAAATGCACACGACTTAGTCGCGCTAGGGAATATATGATCGTCAGGCCGAACGTCGCTGTGAAGCATGCGACGAAAGAATTCAAGAGCAAGTAAAGGAAGCTCATTTTGGGCAAATGAAGATATGACAGAGCTCCAAGTGGTGCTTGACTTCTGCGGCGCCTCTTCAAAAACTTGGAGGGCAAAAAGTGGAAGTTGCGATTTTGAATAGAGATTGATAAGATGGTGGGATATGAGAGGGATGGTCTGGATACCTGCTTTGATGATATGGGCATGGAGCTGAAGTCCCTTAGGGACAGACCTTGAGCGAGTAACAGAAAGGAGGAGTTCGCAAATATTCCTGTAATCCTGCTCGAAAACGTAAGTGTTCAAAAAGTTTCGAGGAAGCTTTGGCAAAGAGACAGCTACCGGAGGTGCTGAGCCGAAGAAGCAGGAGAGGGTTAATAAACGCTGGTGAAGAAAACAGGTAAGGAACTCCATAGGTAATTAATTGAATCAATTACAATTGAAAAATTACCGTCCTCGATCATCAACCAATCCCATCATCAACATAATTATCTGCGGTTTTCGTTTTCGTTTTCGTTTTTTTTTTTTTAATAATTTTGAGTGAGGCGGTTTTCGTTTCTTGTTGGTCAAGGGAATAAAGGCAATAATTATAAAAGGATGCCGCTGCACGCAGACCCGCCAAAAGCCCTAGGAGTAGAACCGACCTCGACGACAATGGAAGGAGGTACGGAGGAGTTACAATGGCAATCGGAGCCGGAAGCGGAATCTATCGTCTCCGTGACGCTCGCGCGTGCCATGAGTGCTCTGCTCTGTGCTCGACCCAAGAAGCTCCAGGACGCTATTTTCCGCCTCTCTTCACTGACCCAAAGACCCTCAATGGGTACTTTTTCAGCCACTTAGAGCTTGTTACTGTAGTTCACCGGATGCTTTGCTTCTCGTTCACTGATTTTCATTCTTCCAGGTTCTTTGGAGGACTCGCTATGGTTCTTGCACAAGTATGTAAGCGATGCTGCTGAGAAGGAGGATTCATTCGATCAAGTTCTCGTTCCCATGATCGAAAATGTATTCAATTTCTGATACGTTTTTTTAAATTGAAGTTGCTTTTCTTTTTGAGTTTTACAACTTCAGAGTTTCTGGAAGCTCTGTTACTGTGTTATGTTATTCATCTGGATTGCACTCATAATTATGGTGGGTTTATATTCTGGGGTGGTAGGCATTGAAGTCCAAAGATTCTAAGCATGGTGGCCAAGCCATGATACTGATAAACTGGCTCTTTCAAGATGAGTTGCTCTTTGAACCTTTGACGAATGGTCTTGCTAGCATCGTTACAAGGAAGAATGATCGTTATTTATTGGTTGGATGGTGTGTAATTGTTCGAGCTCTTGTGGACTACGATACTATTACCAGTCAATCTCCTTTTAGTGGTAAGTTTTCATTTTCCAGTTGATTATAACTTATGGAGCAGGAAATCACTTTGAAACGTCTTTAGGAAGCTTTTTCCTTTCTTTATTTATTTTTTCTTGTTTATGATTAGTATTTTCTTCTGCGTGTTTGAGATTAATGGATCCCTGAATGGCAGGGATAAGGGGGAGGTGCGATGGGTTGATAAAGATACTCTCCGCGTGCCTGCCACATCTGGCCGGTATTGTTTGTCAAGGAAGGTAATTTCACGTATAATAAGTCTTATCGTATGTTCTGGCAAAACAGGTCTCCTAGTGTAAATTGAGGGAGTGAAGGAAATTTTAGTGATTGATTTTGTGCATTTGTGTGCTATTATATATTTGTCAGTCCTCGTCATGCAAAATAATTTTTTTACCGTATCTCCTCTTGTTAGCGTTCCATTATTAGTTACTTTTTTTATTAAAAAATATAAAGTAATTTTTGAAAAGTTAAATATTAAAAATGTAAGGCATTTTAATCTTTCAAAATATAATCATTATTTTTTTTTTTTTTTTAAAAAGTGCGTCTATTGAATAAAGTAGTTACTTAGATGATCTGCTCCATGGAATATCCTCTATTTTTGGGCTAAAGCCTCCTATCTATCTCTTACATAATGTCAAGTTTTTCTGCCTCTTGTCCCCTTTTCTGGCCCTGCACCTGTATGTTCTCTTTTTCATTCTTGGTTCTTCTGCGAAACCTTTTCTTTTTTATCATCTGATCTCTGGTTTCTGCAGCACTTTGCAGGATGGGTTTGAGTTGCCAACTCGTCTTGGAGTGTCTGCTGCTGATTGTTTTTTGACCCTTACAGAAACATTAACCAAAATGGCTGAGTCTCAAAGTAATAAGTTGAAATCAGATGCAAGAGCAACAAGTCAGCTGATTACTTTAGTTCCATCCGCTAGTGACAAGGAAGGGAAATTAGCTTCTAAATCTTTGACGATGCCCAACACTGGAGGGGATTATATTTTATGGCATCATTTGGATGGAATGATTTGTTTGGTGCAGCGGCTCCTTGCTGTACGTCACCTTTTTATTCTCATCTAATATCGTGTTTTATGTGTGCCATTTGCTTGGCTATAGCTAAATTATTGCTCTGTTGAGTCTCCTGCAGTGTCTAATATTTATAATTTTCAAGCATGATATTGGAGGAGGAAGATGATTGAGAGAGAGTGACCGTTGGAAAGGAAGCATATTGTTTAACTAAACATCGCATTGAAAAGACATTTAGAGAGTGAGCTGAGGTGTTATTTTCTGTCAGATTTTGCATACATTGAAGTTTTAGGATTTAAATTACTTTCAGATGCTTTAATCTCATATTTAATTTAGTGTCATAAATCTTCCTCAATAAGTGCAGCTTAACCAATTATTTGTAATGTAATTTGCTCATTCTTTATTACATGGACTACTTTCTTGTACTGTTATCCTGTTAACACAGATATTGTGATGGATGTTGCGTTTCTGTGTTTAAAGAAAAAAAATAACAATTAAGACAGGTCTTGGACTTATGAATTTGTATTCTAAATGCAATCGGTTGTGGGTGCTAGCAATTGCTCCACTATTTGTTTGTCTAACTTCGTTGAAGCTAAACATGTGCATGAGCTGTTTCCTATCATCTTCTATGGAACCTCATTTTCCCCTTCTCTTAAACCATTCACTGCAGTGGAACAAAAAAAGTCGATTTTTACATGCCAAAGGGTTGGAGCAAGTGCTTAAATGGTTGGAAGAGATAAAGAATCACTACTGTTCCTTACAAGATGAGGCAGGTTCTTCGCCTTATGCATGAATCTATGTTTAGTTTTATGTTTAGTTCTTCACTGGATATTTTATGAACCTTGATTTTCTTGGACTAAAACATGAAGACAGATTCTAATGTTCTCAAGACGGGAGATTTGCTACTATCTTCTTGCTGGAAGCACTATAGTAGGCTATTATACTTGGAAGACCAGAAATTTCCACAGCGTTACAAGGAGCTTTTGGACCAGTATCTGTCTGGGATTCAGGTTATGCTGTAGATGTTGGCTTTACATATGCTTTGAAATAATCTGAAGCATTAACTTTCCAACTCACTTCGAATTTGAATATCTTGTTATTGCTGTTTGATGTTTGCCATGGGATTATTTTTAGTGATGGTTTCATCTTTGTTTGCAAAAGAGAATGCATACTCGCCTCATTTCATATCCTCAATGAGTAGGATTATTTATCTTATATTTGGGGTCTATGGTGCCTGATATTGGCTACAAGTAGATTTATTGTCTTGAGTTGATTGGAAATATATTGATTGATTGATTATAAATATAATATCTGAAATGCTAATTTGTTATCTCAAGCGTGGCATTTGTTGGAGTTGTTTTGTTGCTGATATCCTTGAATCATTCAGTATTATATGGACAACCATTCTTGCGGGCTTGCTGACAAGAAAGATAGTGAAGTGGAGACAAGACGGTTTTTCTTGATTTGTTTATGCCTATTATTGGGACGTCTAGATAGCAAGAAATTTGAAAGCACAATATTAGAATGTGGGATGGATATATCACGGATTCTTGTACCACAGGTACCTAAACCAAAGGTCTTCTAGAAGGCCTCTGTACAGCTCTATAATCTGGCAAATTGTTTTGCATGTACTTTCCAGGTGTCAAAATTTGTGCCTAGTCCTGAATTATTACAAGGATGTTAATTTAGTAACTGTCATGCATGAGCTTAGGAGAATTATTGTCTTTTGTTTGCATGACATTGTCATTGATTATAACTTGGATGCAATTATAGGGCCCTTGGTATCTGGACGAGAGATGAATGCTCACTTTTTAGCTATATCATAGGCAGTTGACATTGATGGAATTCAAACTCCTCCACAAATAACTAGTATTGCCCCTTCCCTGTCATCCTATGATATAGTTTTAGCATGCTAATGTGGTTTACTTGCATAAATCCAGAATAAACTGTCATTCAAATATGTTGACTCTACATAGCTGGCTAAGGTATATCTTGCATGATGATCCTGATGTGATCTTATTTGAGTAGTGTTCTGGTTCAAAAGGTTGTTATGCTGCCATTTGAAAGAGGAATCCTGTTCTAGTACTTGTGATTGATGATATGGATTTTGCCTTTTGATATGAATGTTTACTGTTATGTGGCATATCGATATAGAATGAACAATTGCTTCTAATATCTTGCTTTTTAGTATAATCATGCTATTGAGACAGGCACTAATGCTAACATATAATAGCTATAATTGAAACTTAATTTGTTGTCATATTGATAGCTACTTCTGTCTCTTTCTGCGTAGCTAACTTGTACTAGTGAAGACATTATCGATGGGGTGGTTTCAATCTTCAAGGCTATCATCTCGAAGCCGAATTGCTCAACTGGAAGCACAAATATTAACAGCAGACAAGTGGACGCTGTAATGCCTTTTCTGCTCCACCTTCTAGATGAGCAGGAAGGTACAGCAAGGGCTGTGGTTAAGCTGATAGCAGAATACTGCTCAATGTATTCACTCTGTTCTTTTCCATTTGATGCTAAGAAGGATAACTCTCCAAATCAATGAACTTTATTCTAAATTAGTACATGTATTATTTACTGATCTGCATTATGATCCACCAGGAGCGAAGATGGTAAGTGCCTTGAAGAAGTTTTAAAGCGCCTTTCATCTGGAAATATTTCCCAGAGACGAAATGCTATTGGTGTTATATCAGAAGTGATTGACATATCAACAAATTCACAGAAGTCTTCTCTACTTTCTGCTTGGTATGATTACACTGGCAGCTATTATAATTTTGAGGATCTTTTATTTTAATCTGTTAACATGATTATTTCAGGCAAGATGTAGCCAACAGCTTGCTGGAGCGGCTTGGAGATGAAGACATTGTGATTCAGGAGCTGGCTTCCAAATTACTTCCAGCTTTAGGTTAGTCCTAAAACTAAATGGTAGGCGCACTCAATTGTGCATATGCCTGTATCTGTCCTGGTTTTTTTGGGTTGTGAAATGTTACATAAGAGGGTCATATTTGTGATCTTCTGCACCAAATAGCTTAGGTTTTTAAGTTGAATTGGTTCTTTATTTTGGTATACTTTTTCTTTTTCCTAATATTCATCTCCCTATTACTTCATACTTCTATAATGTTTCATTTAATCACTCCACTCCTATGCTTCTCTGCGCGCCCTTGATTTTCACATAGCAGATATATAATTTTTATAGGCATGTATTTAAGCATCAGCATAATCGTATTGATTTGATCCCTTTCTACATTATGATTACTGGTAAACCTTCTGTTAATGTGTTACACAACTAAATGATCTGGCATGTATCAATATTTATGATATGCTGCGGTGATTTTGATCTAGATTTGGTTATCATTGGCCACCTATTTCTAATGATCTCTGATTCTTGATCACGGTTTTCTTTTCAAAAATTGTGTTATTATGAGTAGCGGCACTTATGAGTTGCTGAAATACTTCTGCAGACCCTTCATTGCACTTGCCAACATTGGTCAGTCTTGTTTACTCTCCTATTGAGAGGGTACAATCATCTGCTACTGATGCCCTTATTAGGGTCCTCAAATTTCACAACCAGAAAAATGATGTCCTACTTTTGATGCTAGACTGCCTTAGGTATCCCCCCTCCCCTCCGTCCTTCCTGTTTTTTTTTTTTTTTTCAACTTTGCCTTTAAAATTGCAGTGCTCAACTTGCAAAGCCAAAAATTTTAGGTTTTGAAAGTGGGAGTCCAAAATATATGATCTTGTACCATGTTATATGTTACTTTTTTTTTTTTTTTTTACCAACGCATGTTATATATTACTGTTCTTGTAATTTTAAGTTTCACTCCTCATCCTTACAGCAACATCAGCCAAAGCGTAGATCTTCCAGAGGTGGCAGAGAAGAAAGGTGCCTCCTTTCTTTCATTTTTTTTTTTGGCCTCATGTTTTAACAGACTATTAATGAGCTTGTCTTGTTGATGTCCATATAGATGTTTGTTCAAATTATCGTGGTTGTTGAAATGGCTGAATAAAAGATTGACTTGATTTTGTGCACAATTATTGTTAGTCAATATTCAGAGTGGTGAGAATAACAATATTATCAAGTTGTATGTTGTATGTCAATGTCTGGTAATCCTTACTTGTATATATCAATCTGTGCATGTATATGTATGTATTGATTATGTATGTATATCAATGGTCTTAAAAACTAGACTTGTTGATCTAGTTGAGCCATTGGTTCAAATTTCATTGTTTGGTCTATGGTTGAACCGTGGTCAAATGGGTCATAATTAAATTAGTATGTTTTAATTTTATATATTATAATTACATTATATATAAAAATTCAACAGTAATGAGGAATGATGAAGGATAGTAAAGAGCAAATCTATGGGTAGAATTTATCTTCTGTTGTTATTTATTTATTTTGATGAAATTTGTTAATTTATTACTTATAATGATTATACAACAACAACAATAACAACAAGCCTTTATCCCACTAGGTGGGGTCGGCTACATGGATTGCAAGACGCCATTGTGCTCTATCATTTATTAAGCTTTTAGAAATATTATTAATTAAGAGATCACGTTCAACAACTTCCAAGAGTGTTCTCTTAGGCCTTCCTCTACCTCTCTTAATCGGACTCAAAGTTATATGTTCCACTCTTCTCACCGGTGCCTCCCTTGGTCTTCTTTGTACATGCCCAAACCATCTCAACCGATTTTCTACCATTTTTTCCTCAATAGGTGCCACCCTCACTTTTTCACGTATGTGCTCATTTCGAATTTTATCTTTACGTGTATGTCCGCACATCCATCGTAACATTCTCATCTCTGCTACTCCAACTTTATGCTCTTGCTGTCCCGTTAGAGCCCAGCATTCACTACTATATAACATTGCCGGTCTGATAGCAGTACGATAAAACTTTCCTTTAAGTTTATTAGGCACCTTACGGTCACAAATAACTCCTTTAGCTTTTCTCCAATTAAACCACCCAGCTTGAATTCTATGTGAAATATCTCCACTGATTTCGCCATCATTTTGAATAATGGCTCCCAAATATCTAAACTTTTCCACTTGAGGTATAATTTGATCTCCCAATTTCACTTCCAAATTATTTTCGAATAGTCCTTTACCAAATTTACAATATAAATATTCCGTCTTACTTCTACTCAGACGAAAACCTTTCGACTCCAATGTCCTCCTCCATAACTCAAGTTTGCAATTAACCTCTTCTCTTGTCTCTGCTATAAGAACTATATCATCCGCGAAGAGCATACATTTCGGGATTTCCTCTTGAATATGTTCCGTCAAAACATTTAAAATCAAGTTGAACAAATAAGGACTCAGAGATGATCCCTGATGTAGTCCAATCTTTATAGGAAAATCCTTTGTTTGACCACTAGGCGTTCTTATACTAGTTTTTACCCCCTCATACATATCTTGTATGGCTTTAATATAGGCAATCCGTACTCCCTTTTTTTCCAACGCTTTCCAAAGCACTTCTCTTGGTATACGGTCATAAGCTTTTTCCAAATCAATAAAAACCATGTGTAGATCTTTATCTTTACAACGATACTTTTCCATTAATCCCCTTAGTAGATAAATCGCCTCTGTAGTTGATCTACCTGGCATAAAACCAAATTGATTCTCAGAAATACTTGTCTCCAATCTCAACCTGTGCTCAATTACTTTCTCCCACAATTTCATTGTGTGGCTCATGAGTTTAATCCCTCTATAGTTAGTACAATTCTGAATATCTCCTTTATTTTTATAAATAGGAATTAATGTACTTCTCCTCCACTCATCAGGCATTTTCTTGGACCGTAAAATCACATTAAATAACTTAGTTAACCATCTCACCCCTTCTTCACCTAAACATTTCCACGCTTCGATAGATATACAATCAGGTCCGTTAGCTCTACCATTTGCCATTTTCTTAAGAGCTTCCTTTACCTCCTTATCACGTATTTTCGATAGAATGACAAATTTTGTTCTCTTTCACCAGTTACTAAATCCTCTAAGTTACTAGATGAATCCTCTCCATCATTGAAAAGTTTAGAAAAATAAGTCTCCCATCTATTTTTAATTTCATCATCTGTAACTAAAATTCTTCCCTCTTCATCCTTAATACACCTTACCTGTTCTAGATCTCTTGATTTTCTTTCCCTACTCTTGGCAATCTTATAAATATTTTGCTCTCCTTCCTTCGTCTCAAGGTTCTTATAAAATTCTTCAAAAGCTTTGGAACGAGCTTCACCCACAGCTCTCTTAGTTTCCTTCTTAGCCATACGGTACCTCTCCCAATTTTCCTCATTGTTACACAAATGTATGGCTTTAAAACAGTTCTTCTTATACTTGATTTTGTCCTGTACACTATTATTCCACCACCAAGACTCCTTATCTCTCGGACCAGAACCTTTCGATTCTCCCAAAACTACTTTTGCAACCTCCCGTATCTTTTTAGCCATATCCTCCCATATGATGTTAGCACTTCCCTGAGAATCCCAAATTCCTTTATCCAAAAGATTTCGCTTGAAAATATCTTGCTTCTCACCTTTTAATTGCCACCACCTAATCCTTGGTGTTACTACTTGTCGACGTTTTTGGATTTTACTCATAATACACACATCAAGGACTAGGACCCTATGTTGTGTCGTTACAGCATCTCCAGGGATCACCTTACAATTTTTACAAAGTTTTCTATCTGTGTTCCTAACCAAAAGAAAATCAATCTGCGACCTTGAGGCTCCACTTTTGTAAGTGATGAGATGCTCATCTCTCTTCTTGAAACAAGTGTTGGCAATCTTAAAATCATACGCCAATGAGAAATCAAGAAGAGTTTGCCCTTCATTGTTTAGCTCTCCAAAACCAAAACCACCATGCACCCTCGCATACTGACCAGCTTCCCTCCCGACATGCCCATTAAAGTCTCCTCCAATAAAAATCTTTTCACTCTGTGGTATGTGTCGAATCAACCCCTCCAGATCCTCCCAAAATAATTCCTTAAGACTGGCTTCTGTCCCGACTTGCGGCGCATAAGCGCTAACAATATTAACAGTCTCACGTCCAATTATCATTTTTAAAGAAATAATTCTGTCTCCAATTCTGCTAACTTCTACAACGTTCTTCTTCACTCCTTATCTATAATGATGCCTACTCCATTGCGTGCACTTACTTTTCCTGTATACCAAAGTTTGAAACCTTGAATATCCTTAGCTCCTTCTCCACGCCATTTTGTTTCTTGCAAGCAAAGGATATTGATTTTCCTTTGAATCATAACCCCTACAACCTCTACAGATTTACAATTTAATGTCCCAACATTCCAAGTACCAAATCTAATTTTGCTCTTATGGACTAACTTCTTTAGCCGCGTGCGTCCAGAATGACGCGGTAGCCCTTGCTCATTTAACACTACATCCGGGCGCCGATGCAGCGGCTCTAACTCACTTATCACTGTACTCGAGCCATGCAGCGCGTTACTTACGGGCAACGACCTAGCATTAACATTATAACATCTATTGTCCATGTTCATGATAGATTCAACAAATTTTTACATTGGCTGTTGATGGCCTAACACAACCCTCCTCCTTTACCCGGGCTTGGGACCGGCTATAAACATAGGCGGAGTTACTTATAATGATTATATTCCACCTTTTTTTTAAATCACATCTCTTTATTTTATATATATATATATATATATAAATTTTACACTATTTATGTACAAGTAGAGAGAACTATCCTTGGTAAGCCAATAAAAGCAATGATATCCTAGGATTCTATCTTGATCGTAGGGTCAACTAATAAAAAAAGGATAAGTGCAATGCTTAAAATAATTATAAATAAAGGCTAATAATCTCCTACAATATATAGATAACTTGATGTAGGGGATTATTAATTCCCTAATATATCTGATCTTATTTGATTTTATCGTATAAAATCTAATAACGGAAAAATATTTACAATAAATATTATATATATATCCACACTCTCCCTCAAGTTAAAACATAGATGTTCATCATTTCCAACTTGCTAATGAAATAATCAAACTTATATCTACTCAATCCTTTGGTAAGAACATTAGTTGTTTGCTTCCTTGTTGGTATGTGCCTCATCTTGATGATGCCACTATCAATCTTCTATCTAATAAAATGTCTGTCTATCTCAATATGCTTAGTCCTATCATGTTGAATTGGATTATGTGAGATACTAATTGCTGCCATGCTATCAAAGTACAGAGTAATAGGCAAGTTCACATTTTTTGTTAGTTCTTCAAGAACTCTCTTGAGCCATATACCTTCACAAATTCCTAAAGCAATGGCTCAAAATTCTGCTTCTGCACTACTACAAGCAACTACACTCTGCTTCTTGCTTCTCCAAGTAACTAAGTTTCCCCAAATGAACGTGCAGTGTCCAGATGTAGACTTTCTACCCTCCTGATCACCTGCCCATCTGCATCTGTGAAAATTTCTACATTCTATTTCTCAGATTTCTTAAACCATAAACCTTTTCCAGGGTGCCTTTCAAATAGTCGAGAATTTTGTGGACCTCATTCAAGTGTTTCTATTTGGGGTCATGGGAGTGTTAACTTACCATTCCAACCACAAAGGCAATATCTAGCCTAGCATTTGACAAGTAAATCAATTTTCCCACCATACATTGATACCTATCCGTATCAATAGACTTGCCATGGTCCTCTTCATTGCTTATCTTGTCAACTCGGATAGGAGTATCACTAGGTCTGCTTCCCAACATGTTAGTCTCTTTCAAGAGATCTAGCACATATTTTCTCAGGGAAATAGAGATTCCCTTCTTGGATCTTGCCATCTCTATGCCTAGGAAATACTTCATTTCTCCGATATCTTTTATATGGAATTCTTGGGCTAGTACATTTTTAAGGTTTTCAATCTCTTCAAGATCATCACCTGTGAGGACCATATCATTCACATAAACCAAAAATATAGTAATTTTAGTACCTCGGTGTTTGAAGAACATTGTGTGGTTGCTTTGACCTTTGTGTGAACCTTGCCTTTTTGAGTACTTGTGTAAGTCTTTCAAACCAATCCTTGGAGATTGTTTTAATCTATGCAAGGATTTCTCCAACTTGCATACTTGATTTGGTTTATTCCTTGGGAACCCAGGAGGTAACTTCATATGCACTTCTTTCAACTCACCATTTAGGAAAGCATTCTTCACATCTAATTGATGTAACAACCAGTCAAGGTTGGCTGCTAGTGAGAGAATTATCTGGACAGTATTTAACCTGGCTAGTGGTACAAATGTCTCAGTGTAGTCTATACGATATACCTGGGAAAAACCTAGCCTTCTCTTATGTTTGTTTAGACCTCCATCAGCATTATATTTGAGCGTAAAGACCCACTTACGTCCAATTGCTTTCTTACCTGGAGGTAACTCTGCAACGTCCCAAGTATCATTCTTTGTCAACGCCTCCATTTCCTCCATTATAAGTTGTCTCCATTCAGGTATAGCCAAGGCCTCTTCAATATTCTTCGGTACTATGACATTTTCTAGGTGGGCAATAAATCCACACAATTTGGTAGATTGTGCTTGATAGGATACAATTTCTCAATAGGAAGCCTAGTGCAGACTCTCGACTTCTTCCTCACAACTATAGGTAAATCAAGATTATCATCACAACTTGATTCTTCCACAATACCACTATTATCTTCTTTTGGACCTACATCCGATTCTAACTCTTGATTAGTGCTTGGGGCATGGATCTCTTTACTTGTCTTGTTTCTTCGTGTATAGGTTTGTGCAAATCTGGTATCTCCCCTTGTCTTAGACTTTTCCTTCTCCTTGGGACTAGAATTTGGCACATCACTTGTGTTTTCTAATAGGGTGGTGGTACTGGTGTTGTAGGTCTCAATTTCTAGGCTAGGGTCGAGGTCTATAGGTCAAGGGTCAAATGGTAAGGTATAGGATTTGTTTCAAGTGGTTCACTCATGTTTTCACTCATAGTAATCTGTAATTCATTCCAATTCTCCCCTTGAATTGTAGATTGGGAGTAGAAAGGTTCATTTTCATGAAAAGTGACTTCACAAGTGGTAAATACATGTTTGGCGATAGGATCAAAGCACTTGTACCCTTTTTAGTGGCAGAATAACCTGGGAAAATACAGCAGACGGCTTTGGGATCCAGTTTATTTGTATGATAAAGATGAACATAGGTAGTACAACCAAACACTCTTAAGGAAAGTATGTTTTCCAAGTAGGGTAGATTATATGTTTGGTGTAGAACATCAAGAGGAGTTTGATAAGATAGGGTGCAGTTTAGGAGATGATTGATAAGGAAAGTTGCAGTTAGGACAGCATCATCCTAGTGATATTTGGGAACCTTACTACTAAAGAGAAGTGCACGGGCTGTTTTAAGGATGTGCCTGATTTTCATCTTAGCAATGCCATTTTGCTGAGGACTATATAGGCAAGTACTTTTGTGTACAATTTCATTGGAAGTAAAAAATGTAGAGAGGTGTTTATTGAAATATTCTGTGCCATTGTCAATATAGAGAGTTTGAATAGATGTGTGAAACTGGGTTTTAATCATATGATAGAAATTGATGAACACCTGTGATATATCATATTTGTCTTTTAAAAGAAACACGCAACTAACACAAGAATGATCATTAATAAAGATGATAAATCACTTTGAGTGAGTTCTATTAGGAGTCCTTGAGGACCCCCAGAGATCACTATGAATTGTTATAAAAGGTTTAGATGCAATTTATGGTAGATGAGAAAAGGAAGTACAATGATGTGTTGCTTTCTCACAAGAATCACAATAGAATTGAGAACAATTATTTTTATTGCAAATTGAAGGAAACATTTTTGACATATTTGAAATTAGGGTGACTTAAACCTTTGTGCCACAACTCCAACACACTAGTCCTAGGGAGAGACACCTTATTGTATGGCCTAGCTTTGCTAACTTCACTTCCATCTAAGTAATAGAGACCGTCAAACTCTTCAACACTACTAGTCGTCATCCCCGTTAGTAAATCCTAGAAAAGACAATAAGTAGTAAAGAAGTCAGCATGGGACCTTTCATCTTTAGCTAATTTATTCACAGAAAGTAAACTACGCTTTAAATTCGAAACATGTAGAACATGATGTAAGGTGAGAGTAGATGAAATTTGTACACTCCCAATACTAGTAATAACTGATTCTAATGCATCTGCAATCGTGACTGTAAGTTTCCTTTTACAAGGTTCATATGTTCTAAACAATTTAATATCATCAGTCATATGGTTTGAAGCACTTGAGTCTACTATCTAATAACTTCTTGTGCATATTGTTTAATAGTGGCTAAAGCTTTATAAAAATTACCTCTTTGAACCACAATGGCAACATCTTGCTTACTATTGGTTTGTAGAGCCAAAAGCATCTCAAGAATTTTGTTTAGTTGATCATTTGAGGGCTATATTGAGGAAGGAGAACTATTATCATCTCCAATGGAACTTTCAGCAACATAGCCACAACTTCTACCTTTCCTTAGCTTCCAATCAGGGGGTTTGCCATGGAGATCCCCATACTTGTCCTTGGTGTGACCAACCTTCTTGCTGTGTTCACATGTAGGACGCCCTTTAGTGTTTCTAGATCATTAGACTCGGCAACAAGAGCAAATGCAAAAGCTTCAAGAGCACTAGTTGGAGAGATAGGTTCATCTTTTAACATTACCTTTCTTTGTGAATACTCTCTTTGGATCATTGCAAAGGCTTGACGAACATATGGCAAAGGTTTTAGGCTTAAAATTCTGCCACAGACATCATCTAGGTCAGAATTGAGTCCCACTAATAACTCAGAAACGTTCTTTCTCAACCCGTTTCCGGAACCTAGCAGCATCCTAGAGTTGGTCTATTCCTTAGTGGTAATTAAATCCAGTTCTTGCCATTAAGATGTTTTTTCACGGTAATATTCACTTGGGTCATGATTACCTTGCTTTATGAGCCATAACTTTGATTTAATCTCAAATATTTGTGAAGTGTTTCACACCATCAGAGTACTCCTCCTCCTCCCCAGCTTCCCTTATTTCTCAAGCTGTTGGCAGAAATAAAAAACTTTTCTTCACATCTAGTAACATTGAATTTACCAACCATGAAACATACCATTGAGTTCTTGGCCTTTCAGACTTTGAAAGCCTTGATGTTTGTTGATTTTGGACATTGGGACTTGCCTGAGACATACCCCTACTTGCCATGACCCTCTATTACAAGTCAAACAGACTGGGCCCATTCTCGATAGTTGATGCCGGCAAGTCTATCTGAGACAAGGGAGAAAAGTGAGCTCTCTTGGCCAGTCATTAGACCCGAACTGATGCGAGCCCACAGTAGACAAACCCTCTAAGCCAGATTTGTGTTTCAGGTTGAGAGTTCGAGTCCATCTCCATCTCCAATGATTCAGTTCTTCCTTCTTCCTCGTGCTCTGATACCATGAAGAGGAATGTGCAGGACGAAATTAATTCTTATTCATAGGAGTCAACAGAATATATACATGTGTGTGGCCACCATCTAGGCTGAGATTCTAGGGATTTACAGAGAAAAGAAATAAAAACAAAATAATTCCCTAACATATCTGATCCTATTTGATTCTCCTGTATAAAATCTAATAACAGAAAAAATATTACTGTAAATATTGTGTATATATATATATATATTTCTTTTTTCCACAATTACAAGCATTTACCTGGCCTTTTGTTGCCTTTTTCTGGATGGCAAGAAAGTAGAGGATCATGACAAGAAAGAAGAATGAGAAGAAAATGGTGTTGATATGTAAGATAGAAATGGGGGAGTTGAATGGAAGAAGTATGTCGCCTAGATATAAGTGTGAAGTGGGGATATAAAAGGGCAAGGAAGGTAGGCGTAAGAACCATAATGGGCTCAATTGTTGGACTCTTTGCACAGGCCTGTAATTGTTTCCCCAAAAATCATGGCTCTTCCAAATCGGCTTACCTATCTTTGACTGGTTCTGAAGGAGTCTAGTTTTGACCTTGTTCTGAACCAAACTAGGTGTTAGTCCACCAGTTTTTTTATTGAGCCAACTTGTCTGGTCCCGTTATATTGACATTCATATATACATACATATATATATATATATATATATATCATGCTGTAGCTGTTGATTTCACTGTTTTTTTCCTTAAACTTTGTGGCCATAAATTTGAGCAATTGATCTTAGTTAAGCACTTTAGTCTTCTATTATTTTCATTTTTGGGGCCTGGAATATGGCAACCATTTTATTCTCATGCTTCTTTTTTTTTTTTTATTGGTGTCAGGATCAAAGTTGGATGCTGACCGAGTACTCAAGCTGACTCCGGAGTGGTCTAATAGTGTAAGATTCATAATGAAATTACAGATATGGCTGTATAGTCCAAACCATTTTTACTATATGCAATATAATGTCATGATCAACAAATAGGTCAGATAACCAACATTTATCATCTTGTACTTTTCTTTTTCTGCCACGTGTGTTTAAACATGCAGAGGCATTCATAGCTATGCAGAACATATATACACTCAACACTGAGTAGTCATTCATTGTGTTAAGAAAGCACTATTAAGTGTAACGAACTCATTTTAGGAGAAGTTGATGGTTGAGCTTGATACCCATTTTGGGTTGGTTTGCAATTATTTTGCTGGCTCGTTATATATCCTATGAATTGCTCAATCTGCAACGGCAACTGAGTTATGGAAGTTGAGAGCTTTAATATACTTTAGTTCTCTGGAATGCGATGCGATAATATATGCTATATATATAGTGGTTCTGTATTCATATTTCTTTTTGGGGTCCATAGCAGTTTTGTATTATCTTGCTTTTGTAATTTGTAAACTTTTTCAGTTGATAAAATTACGTTATGTGATACAACAGGTTCAAGACTGGAGCTTCTTGATTGGACCGTTGATAGACAAGATGTTTGCAGATCCCTCAAATGCAATTATTGTCAGATTCTTGAGTTATATAAGCGAAAATCTGTCTGATGCTACTGATTTAGTGTTGCATCAGGTTCTGCTACATGCGAGAGGACAGAAGGAGTGAGTGCATGCACTAATAATGTTTTGTGTTCCTTGTTTGGGAATTAGTGATGCTGCCTTGAATCTTTTAATCTAATCCTTTAACTACTGTATTTTTGCTTGCCCATTTGATTGTGATTTTGAGCACACAGTCTTTAGCACCAGAGTTATCTGGGTGACTTTGAGTCATTACTGTGATGCACTAATCAGATGCCTAATAAAAGAGCTATATTATATTATACTTATTAAGCCTGCTTGGTGTGCAACCAGAAAAAATCTATATGGATTTTTTCTGGTTGCAAAAACAGCTTTAGAAGGCAAATATATTTTTCTTTTTTGTAGCTATACAATATATCAAAAGACTTGGTTGTTGGATTCATGTAACCAACCCCACCTTGTTGATGTTGTTGTATAGCTATGCAACTTTTGATTTTGGTTAATGAAAATGTAAAATAATTTCTGTCTATATGTGCTTGACATTATGTTAGGTGTGTCAATCAGATTTGACCCAGAGTTGTACTTTTAGGGTGGTGGTAATTTCTTGCCCTGAACACAGTCTCCTCTTTATTGGCAGAATTGATGAAAGTTTCTTATCAAGATGGGAGAATAGAACCTATACCAATGATGAGTTTGTAGAAATGCAGCATTCTTTGTTTGAGCACCTTTGCCCATTGCTTATCATTAAGATGCTTCCACTGAAGGCTTTTAATGACCGCAATTCATTGGTTATGTATGGAAATCCCAGTCAAGACATAATGCCTGGTATGTTTTCTTGCATAAAGTGTATCTTCATCTGTTTTTGTCGTACTCTGTCAATTTCATTATATGTCTGAATAATTATAGATGATATTTTGTATCTACAAGATCCAGTGGATCAGTTACATTTTATTTTCTCTGACTATAAGAAACTATCTTGTGATGAAACCATTCTTTTGTGTTTGTATCTGTCAATCGTTATTAACTTGATCTATTTGTACCTGATCTTTTTGCGGTATGCTAGTTGACTGAAACCATTTTTAGTTCCCCTCTTCTTGCTGAACCAAAATTTGAACAGAAAGCTTATGTGGTTAGTGGTTCCTCTTTATTTTGATCTTTTCAGTACTCCCATTCTGAAATCTGATCTCCATAATTGTGACTGGATGTTCTGCTAATTTTTGATAATCAATCTCCATAGCCGGGTCAATTGTTGATAGGTTAATGCTACTCCTCCCACTTTGTAATTTGGAAGTTCTCTTCCTTTTAAGGAAAAAATGATAACAATAGAATTCTAGTTTTAGTCACGCAGATTCATGCTCTTTATTTGCATTGTTTAATTTGAGATTTCTGACTTCCATTGGGAAAGCTTTTTGTTGCGTGCACGCGCGCGCGCGTGTTTTGATTGGAGGTTGAGTTTTCCATTTTTGCATCTTCATTTTTCTTGTGAAGTTGTTTGAATACTTGATTTATTTTTTACTTTTGATGTAAATTTAGGCACCAGGATCGTTGAGGTTGGTCATGAGTGTATTGCTGGTCTCCTTTTAAGCAGGTTCGTTCTTGAGCTTAGCATTTTTCTTGCTCCAGTAATCATTTATAAACTTGATATTCCCCTTTTTGTTTTGACCTTTTATCTATTTGTTTCAGGGCATTTTGTGACTTTGAGTTTGAAGATGTTCGGAAGCTTGCTGCTGAGCTTTGTGGGCGCATTCACCCCCAAGTAATTACTTTTTTCATAGAATAAATTGTAAGATTCAAGTTTTGGGAATGCATTAGTATATTATGCTAGGGAGATCTCCTCTCCCCTCCCTCTAGGGGGGGAAAAGGAAAAGAAAGCTGCAATTTGTTAATCTTTTGTTTGCATTTGAGTCTAACTTTGGGCATGCCTTATTGGGGTATGGCAGTTTGGGTGCATCTTGGGTGCCCTGAAATATATTACCCAATATGTATTCAATCTTTGACCTTTGGTGTTGAGTCAGTGCTGATGCAGGGGCGTTGGAGGGTATGGGTATATTTCTAAATTTGAGGTTTCGGGTTTAACGTTTTACTTTAGCAGTTGTGTTGCTTATCTTATTTCTTTACAATTCTTGAAAAAATACTAACTTGTAAAAGTAATTTGATTTTCTAGGTATTATTCCCTGTACTTTGCTCCAAGTTAAAGCAGGCTGTTGATACTAAGAATATACTGAAGATAAAGGCTTGTTTACTTTCAACCTGCACATCGCTTGTGGTAACTAATTACTATTGTAAATACTGTACTATCATGTGTTGCTTTGATTGAGTTAAGTGTGGCGAAATCTATTCCAAATTACTTGGTTTCTTTGGGTTTATAGATCAGAGGCTGGGAGTCTTTTTCTCATCCTGCTATTTTTACTGTTAGAAAGATGATTGAAATAGTGTTGTTGTGGCCAAGTCTTGATGCTGATTCAGGTCAGAAACCATGTAGTTTCTAAATTATTCTTGTACAGTTTCCCTTCGTTTCAAACTATTTTTTATGGCCATAATATACCTTCCAGTTTCAAAAGCACAACATGGATGCATTGATTGTCTAGCACTGTTGTTATGTGCTGAACTACAAGCTGAGGAATCAATTACAAAGTATGACTCAGGTAAAGATTATGGCTTTTAGCAATGAGGGAAGTATTGATATGAATTTATTTTGGTTATATGTGAAGAAGTTTTGCCAGTAGTGGAATCAAGAATGTGACTTCTGCTCAAATATCTAGGTTCTGCATCAGGGGTTTCTGTTATCACTTACGTGATCAGTCATCTCATCCATGACAAGGAGGATCTTAATTCAGCTTCCGAGATGGATGGTAGCAGCTCTGCATTTGCGTCTGCTGTTCCTCTTCCTTTTCGTTTGTGCATGGCCAATGTCCTTATCAGTGCTTGTCAGAAAATCTCAAAATCTTGCGCCAATCAATTTGCGGCACATGTTCTTCCATCTCTCCTTTCTGTTGAGGTAGTTCTACATATTTAGTATTATTATGAGATGATAGGTGTGAGGACTATGGAGTTATAGTTATTGAAATTTTTCCTTCAGTTCTGATTATTTCACGAAATTGGTATGTTCTGAACAGTCTAAAATGAAGTCAGAGATTAGAGCATCGTGCATCCAGGTCCTATTTTCTGCAGTCTATCATCTAAGATCGGCTGTTCTTCCTTATGCATCTGAGCTTTTCAAAGTTTCACTGAGAGTGCTCAAAAACGAGTCAGAAAAGGTATTATTACTAGTCTGATGTTGTTTATTCACCTGATGCTGTTATTGCACTTCATCTATCGGATACGTTGGTGGTGCATTGTGTCTGTGAGTTATGCGGCAAGAGAGAAAATTTGCAGCGCAAGTAATATTTTCCTGAGCATTTATTATTGATTTTGTTGTTATTTGCACTAGCAAAATATTTTTATGATCTTCATTTGTCCATTTTTTCTGCGCTTTCCCCCGGATTTCACTTGTTTTTTCTTTTCTTATGTGTATTATCTATTCCTTCAATTACCTTGTACCCTACAAACTAATGCATTATGAATTTTCAGCAGGAAAGGATGGCAGGTGCGAAACTAATGGCATCTCTTATGGCCAGTGAAGATGTAATTTTGGAAAGCATATCAGCGGGACTATTAGAAGCAAGGTCTGTACTCTCAACGATGTCGTTATCAGAACCTTCACCTGAGATAAGACAGCTATGCAGAAAGTTGTTGGCATGCATATCTTCTACCTAGATTTGCAACAAAACACAGGTACCAGTTGCCATATCCCTGACCCTATCCTATGGTGACATAATCTACCTATGTACATGTTAATGAGAATCTTTTAAAAGAGCTAGTCTTTGTAGACAATTTGAGAGTCGAGAATGCATGGTCTTGAGATGTTATGCTTAAAATTTAGATGGGTGTCTGTGCTTTGATCGTATATAACGCAGAGATTTTGCTTTCTCAAGTCAATGTTGGGTTGTGTTAACTTGTTAATCTTTGATGGCCCAAAAAAAAAAAAAAAAACACGTTGTCAATCTTAATGAAGGGATTCTTTTTCAAGGCACATTAATGCAGGGAATTGGTAGGTTATGCCTGTGGCTATTTTTTTTTTTTTTAATGTTCTGACTTCTTATCCGTTATTATTATTATTATTCTTTTCAATAGATGAAATTGATAGTTTGATATTGTGACGACCATGGTTGTACATTCATTGTTATTTACACGTCTTTCCTCAGTCTTTTTTGTTTATTGGTGTAAATCATATTAAATAGGCAAATATTATGCTCAAACTATTTATTGCTTACTATGTTTCATGTTTTATATTGATATTGATTGATAATATTTATAAATCGAATTTGTGTACAAAGTAGAATGGATTTTTTTACATTGATCTTATTATGTTTTATATTAAAAAAAATCAAAGTCAAGTCAGTCAAAACTCTCATATTCACAAATAAATGGACACGATAAAAGTGAACATAAACCATAACAGATAATGACTATCTATAATTTTAAAAAATAACTGCTTCAAAAATTTTACACCATTGAAAAATCTTAGTTGTAGTGAAAATATTAAACCATACTGATAAATACATGGGTAGATTTCATCGATGTAACCATTGGAGTTTATATATGAAATTATCATGTTGATCATATGCAATTTAATTCAAACTAAAATAACTAATGCGCGCATTTATGTAAGTTAAAGAATAGTTATTATATTTTGATAAACTAGCAAAGAGTATTATTAATTTAAGGGTTAAGGTATAATTTTATCTTTAAATTATACTCGAAAGAACAATGTTATTCATAAACTAATTAAATTGAAATAATGTTATTTTATTATTTAAAAGTTTATTATTGTAGCTGGTAAAATTTATTTTTCATGAATTAGGGTATAATTTTTTTTAAATTATTTTTAAAGGAGCAATATTATTTTTGCCATTTAAAAATTATAAAATTAAATAAAATTAAAATTAAAATAATATTAAATAAAAATAATAAATGTGTGTATAAAATAAATATAAGAAAAATTTATAGTATGTTAATGAAATGAGATAACAATGATGTAAATTAATAATATTATGAATTATAATTATAATTTTATAACTTGTCAAATATAAGTGAATCTTGATTTAATTGGATATGAATAGATTTAAAAGTATCTGTATTTGTACTTATAACTATCAACATCTTTATAGAAAAAAAAAGGTCTCAAATCATATTTTATACATGTAAGTTGTTAAAAAACGAAGTTGGCTTTTATCAGGATTTAATTTTTTGATTTTTTTTAATTTTTTAGCCTTTTTTTAATATTATCTTTAAATTCGTTCGATTTTTAAAAAATTGCTCTGGTTTTCAATTCAATTTTGATTTTTGATTTAATAATAATATAATTCTTGTCCAATCTAATTCAATTATTAAACAATTTTTTTGTCCAAATCGAGTTGTTAATAACTCTAGTTGATACTCCAACTGTTCGATTCAATCTAATTTTTAAATATTACTAGAGAAAGATAATGAAAAGTGAGTTTTATTAGCTACAATTAATGGGCATTTATAATTTTTAAAAGGCAATAGCAACATTATTTTTTTGAGAATAGTTTAAAGACAAAATTGAACTTAACTCGTAAAAAGTACATCCCATCAGCTATAGTAACCAATGTTTAAACTACGGGGGTAACATTATTTTGATTTAATTAATTTAAGGGTAATATTATTTCTCTAAGAATAGTTTAAAAATAGAATTACAACTTAACTCTTAATTTAAGGTAGAATTTGGATTTACGAATTTGAATTTTATACTCAAATTTGAAACTCATGTATTTAAAATATTTGTTCAAGTAGTTTAAAAAATTTTAAATGAAGAAGAAACATAAATTAAGGTTCAAAATGAAAATAAAAAATAAAAAATATCAAATTTATTTTTATTTTTTAATTAATAAGAGATGAGAAATGATATGAGAGTTATAGTAAAAACATAAAAAGAATAATGTTTGAACTTATTAGAATTTTAAATAATTAGAATGTAAAGAAAATTTAAAATTATAAAGAAATTATAATTTGAAATGATCAAATCATAAATTTGTGTCTATCCAAATAAGAGATTTAGTTTTCAAATGCAAGTTTTCATTAATCCAAACACACCATAATTTGATTTGGTAAAATTTGATTGACTCTTCACAACTATCATATTTCTTGAGTTTTTTTTTTTAAACATAATCATCTCAAGTTAATTTCTTGCAGTAAATTATAAGATATTTTAGGAGAGATTTAGCATTTAAAAATATAAAACATAAACTCTATAGTTTAAAGTCTCGCGACACAGGAAAATTCTCTCAATGAATTCTAAGCCTGGCCTTAAACCAAACTTCATCTTCTCTGCCTCAACTTCTCAAGATGCTTGCATGGATCCACTTGCATCTAAAGAAGAGATTGATTTGATCAACCGAAATGCCTCAAAGGTGGATGAAGAGATGATAGACAAAGGTACAGTAAACAAGCAAAATGACGTTTATCCTATGGACATACAATCTGAGAGCAACAGAGTAGCCAATCTGAACAATGAAAACTTGATTCAAGGTATTAAAACTCTCAAAGCCCCTATTTCTTACAAAGACTCATTGGTAGGCTATAATAGGTGCTATGGGATTAACGAAAGGGGTAACACTAAGTATATTAATGACACTTTAGCTAAGGAACTGGATTAAAAGTGGTCTCCTTCAGATGACACCAAAAAATTAATGGATCACTATCCTAGCGTCCAGATTTCAGATGAGGAATGGAAGAAAATATGTACACCCTAGATGGATGCTTTGGTCATCAAAACACTAGGTATTCAACTTATTCCTAAATCATTTAAGCCTAGATTAGCAAAAATGTGCCAGATTAGAGACTTTGAACTAATTGATTTGGTTAATGGTTATTACATCATTAGAACTAAGGACCAATCAGTTTACCACAACATTCTTAATGGAGGTCCTTGGACAATCTTCGACCATTGTATCCTTGTACAACGCTGGTCACCAAGCTTCAATCCTAACACAAACACTCTTGGCAAGATAGCTCTTTGGGTAAGATTAAACAACATTCCCATCCAATGCTATGACAAGGAAATTCTATCCAGAATAGGCAACTGTATAGGCAAAAACCTTAAGGTTGATGTGAACGCACTCTTTGAAGCAGATATGCAAAATGAGCCTGGTAAAATCGAAAGGGGAAAATTTGTTCGAATAAGCGTTGAAATTGATCTCTAGAAAAAACTTATGCCTAGGATTCTTAACAGAGATGAGCTTTACAATGTTGAATATGAAAGCTTAAACCTTATTTGTTTTAGCTGTGGTTGCTACGGCCATAACAAGAACACTTGTCCACACAGCCCCAGAAACAAAATGAAGAGAAGGAGAAGAGCAAGATTGATACAGATATCTCTAATCATGAAACCATATGAAATCCCACCAGCCATCCTTTAAACTAGGAAAACCGAGAAAAGCAAATTCAATATCCAGAAGGGACATCAGAAGCTTACCCATCGGAAGAATTTTGCGATGAGTGGATGAAATTCTGACGTCCTGCCCATGCACAAAATACGAAGCAACAAATGAGCAACAAGCAAATTCACCGAAATTAAGGATCTAATCTCCAGAATAGATCTAGATTTGATATTCTATATTCTAGCCGACCTAGAGCACAGGGATGACGACAAAACAAGCAACCCAACTGCCTCCAACGGTCCACCTACGAAACCCACAGCTACGATTGTCAGAAAGGTATGGAGAAGGAAGGATTTGGCAGGAAACAAGAGAAACTGAACTGAAGTGAAGGACGCGACTGGATCTTCTAGAGATGACGAGAACATGCGAGAAAAGGGAAAAAAGCTTCTCACGTTGGGCCCAAATTCAACTGGAATGGCCCAAAATCTATTACACTAGATAAAGATCCATTTAATGGGCTTCAAACGGCTTTGGGCTCCTCAAAACGCACTCATACAATAATCAAAGGAAACAAAAGGGAATTAAGCTCTTCAAAAAGGTCCAATAAAGCAGATGATAAGAAGCCCATTGGGAATGATCGACCAGCTGAAGGTTCTTTCTATCTGAATCCTAAAGTCCGATCGTAAGGCATAATACTTAATAACTCGATTGAAAATCACAATTCCCCCTCAAATTCAAGTGTTAATTCGGAGCTGAGCAAACCACCTGATCTTGATATCTCTATCAGTATTGTTCCTGAAACTCAACTGATCATTGATACTTTTATGCAAATTCAAAACAGGTCCTCTCATGATAATGTTGATGATGATGATCTCTCTTTTGATGGTAATGAGGATGATATCATTGATGATGATCTACTAGATGAAGAATTTGATAATTCTTGCATCAATAATGATCTTGAAGATGATGAATTCAATGAGGATGGGAATGAGGACTAATTTCTCTAATGAAAGCCTTATCCATTTTTCAGGTTTATTCACTCCTTTTCTTCATTTATGAATATTTTTTGCTGGAATTATAGAGGTACCTATGGGAAAACTTTTCCTGGACGCATAAGAGAAATTACTAAAACTTGTAATACTCAAATTCTTATTTTAGTTGAAACTAAAGCCAGTGGTTCTAAAGCTAATAAGATTGTTAAAAAATTAGGCTTCTCTAATTGGATCCATGTTGAAGCTACCGACTATGCTGGTGGTATCTGGATTTTATGGAATAATGACACTATATATATTGACTACCTCTATTCAAATGTCCAGATTCTTCATTGTAAGG